GGCAAATGAAATTGGAGCATGTCTAAAGTGCCTCTGAGAGCCAAGGTCTGTGCAAGAAGGAATCTGGCATTTGAATTTCGGTAAAACACCCTTGGAACCTTTTTTCCGCAACATTGGTGCATTGCTTTTCACCACATAAAGCCCCTGCATTATACATCACAACAGCAACTCTAGATACTTTCTTAACTGGCTCTCTCCAGTCTTTCTTTGAATGGTAGGAACAACGAGAAACAGCGAGGCTCAATTCTGATGCGCTACATTTTGAAGACTGCCGCTGCTGCAATTACATTTACATGAAAAATTAAATTGAGTATTTCTATAGCGAAATAGATAACCATCTAGATTCATTGTGATCCCCACCCCCCTTGAAAACACTCATCACCATAGTGAAAAAAGTCATTGCAGATCTGATTTTGCATAAAATTAAGGGTCATAATGACCGATTTGTAATTATTATATTTTCACTGAAAGGGAAATAGATTAGCGTTCTGAAACGCAAAGAGCATGCTTTAATGAATTGTTAAATAATGATACTGCTAAAAGATGCATCCAAACTGACTCCAATCATTTTGGAAAATGACGACAATGTACAAAAACAAATGGCAAAGCCTACATCATTATAAAGGATTAATTATGTGTTCGTTGTTGGTCCTCCTTTGAAGAAAAAGCATCAACTCTTCTTCTTTAAGAATACACAAAAGCATTTAGCCTCTCCACAATTAAAAACTTTTTAAATATTCTTTTGGAATAAAGCCAAGTACAAATTACAGTTTTTTTTTTTAGTTTCACATATTATCTGTTTCAATTTGCTTAATAAGGCATTTGCAAATCTTTGTAAGTACTTGTCAGCACGTTATTAAACTGCTGCTTTTTTTCAATGTAAGGTTGAAATGTAATGAAATATAAAATCCCTCTGTTGCTTAACACTGACAAAACACAGCAAGCAAGACAAAATACCTACATTAAATTACAAAGTAGACTCACTAGACAGCAGTGATGAAGCACTTTAAAGTATTAGGTAGATAAAGTAATTGATTATTCAATAAATCCTTGTCTGTGCTAGAATTCCTATATTCAGAAAGAAAAGACTAAAGATTATAAATCAGTTTCAACCATATTAGGCCATGCAGAAGCTCAAAATAATATTTTTCTTAATATGATGAATAATTCTAATAAGCAAATTAGATTTAAAAAAAATATAATAACAAATTAACTAAAATATAATAACGGTGAAATGCAAATCTTATATTATCTTTTTAAAAGCATATTCCATAGGCTAAGATTTGTTTGAAATACAATGTTTGACTAACCGCAGTGTTAAGTATTATCTGTATCCTATTTATCTGGCAGGTCACAATGTACAATTACTTCTAAAAGATTATTGTGAAACATTTGAATGGAACCCTCAGATTCCCAATATAGCTTTGGGGGTTTCCGTACAGTCCATTAAGCAAAAATGAATGGAGCAAAGTTTATGCTTTCTGCCTGAGCCACCACATTCAACACAACTGCATACATAAAATCCTTCACGTTATGGAAGATCTTTACAAGTAACTTCAATTCATGAAGGGACACTTCACTGTATTTGTACTGTACATATTGCTTTTCATGATTGCTAATACTTAATTATACAGGTCTAAACTAGTGTCACCACAGCTTGCATAAAAGTTTTTTTATATTACCCCAGACTGCTATCCACTGCTATCCACTCCCCTAAATCCTTTCACACTCACATTTTCTTTAGGATACTGTGCACATAAGTGATAGAGGCAGGGAATGCTTTTTACATGCAGTATACAGGCATGTTCTGCATGTTGTACAGAGTGAATCTGTCAATCGGATGAAAAAGTAGAATTATGAACAGCTTTCATCGGTTTTTGTCCTAGCTCCACCCTACCACCCTGCCCAGTTAAGGGACTACACCTTTCTCCAGTAAACCTTGAAGCAACAGTCACTTCACTGCGTCCTGCTGGTTCATCACATACAATTTTATCTGTTATTGTTAAAGTGCCTGCGTGCTTCCTCGTGAAACACCAGCTAAAGTAAATGGTGTATCCCATAATGAGATAAAGTATTATCTCATAAAGTATTCTTAGAGCATCTCCATTCATAAGAGGGGGAAATCTCCATTGTCACGAAATGCAAGTATACTGTAGTGTACTGAAGAGACAAGGGAACACAGGGACAAACAGCGAAGGGGTATATTATATTCCAAGATATTTAAATACATTAAATCACTTGTAATTGGCTGACCTTGCGGTTGCCAATACGACGTATTTCCCTGATTACTAAAATCAATTGAAAGAGGCTGTTTTGGTTATACACCATTAGTTTATAGCTGAGAAAATATTTACGTTTTGAAGAAAATGCTGAAATTGAAACGATGCACAAATAATGACTCTCGGTCTTGTGGTAAACAAAATAATTTCATTTCTGCTCGGATGAAATGCAAGCGCATATCTCCGGGTCGGCCGGAGCCATCTAGTGGTGAAATGTTTTCCTAAAGAGAAGCGGCGTTGCTGCTTACAAAACATATCCCCCACTCCAAACGAAAACAAATCCAAATAAACATATGTTACCATGATAGCTTTTCTAAATCGGCATAATTGAAACGGTATCTTAAAACAATGCGCAAAGGCATTACATACGTTTAACGTTTATTTTACAGCTCCCTGTAAGAACTCTTCAGATTCAACAAAGTGTAAAAACCAAGCCGAAGTGTTACGCCAAGAACTTAATCCAATGATTCAAAATTGTAATTTATGGGACTAGTTTTGCTACTATGGGACTGTGAACAGGTGAAAACGAGAAAAGAGAAATTGGCATTGTTGCTACACCCCTTTCAATCAAAACAATGACACTGGCACTACCATCTTCATCGTCTAGTTTATCATCTTAAATTAATTATTTCCTTGATGTAATACATTATATAAAATTAATTTAAATGTCCAAAATGCATGCAGTGAGCTAAACAATTTAAATCGTTTAATTTTTGCCAAATACGGCTTTTACATTCAGACCTATTCTGTAGGTAACAGTTTAGGAATCTAATAAATGTACAGTATTGTGCTTCTTTATAACTCCAAATACCACTTCACTAGCTCATTTAATAAAATATTCGAGACTATTAAGGTAATTGTCAAAAACAACTCAATAATACACCTGATCCAAAGATCACTGATTTTATACAATCCAGAAAATTTAACCTTGACAACTTTTAATTCTTAGCCTTTAGCCATCCTTGTGAAAAAGAACTGTTAAGTATATACTGTACAGTATTAAGAATGAAAATTAGGCTGTATTTCCTTTGATATAATGCTAAATTCCAGTGAATTGCATTTAAACAGGTTAGATATCTCAGATTTAACATGCATTTAACAAATTTAATTCTGGGCTGAGGAATACATACAAAATATAAAAAAAAATGCTGAAGACGACGTTGTATGAACGAAAAAGTCATAGTGTTTAAGAAGAAACAAGCAATATAGTTTCAATATTAAGTACTGTGCATGCAAGAAACTCGGTAGGGGAATA